AGAGATAGCACAGAGTTCTGATACACTCCTTACATAGCGTCTTCTAACGATCACATCTTACATGACTACAGTATAGTTATCACAAATAAGGGATCAATACTGGTACAATATTAGTAACTAAATTGCATACTTTATTCCCCAGTTTTCCCAGTAATTCTTTTTTCCATTCAAGGATCCCAGCTAGGATATCACATTGTATTTAGTTGTCATATGTTCTTAGTCACCTGTCTGTAACATTCCCTTGGTCTCTCCTTGTCTTTCGTCACCTTCCCAGTTTTTTTTTTTTTCATCATCCACATCATCATCCTCATTTTAAAATTATTTTTAATAGCTTTGTTGAGATATAGTTTACATACCACAAAATCCAACTGTTTGAAATATACAATTCAGTGATTTTCTTGTGTGTTTACAGAGTTGTTCAACCACCATCCTGCTGTTTTTTAAAAAGTAATAGTATGAACAATTCTGAAAAATCAAAAGCCCCCTCACCCCAAAATCCTCTTCTCCTAGAGAAACCATTACCACTTTGATGTGCATCCTTGCTGCCCTTCTTCGTTGCACATATACATGTGTATATAAAATGTATGGCTTTAGGTATGTTTGTTTCAAAATACAAGCAGAATTCTACTGTATATGTATTTTTTTTCCACTTAATATAGTGTGGACATCTTTCATGTCAGCAACACACAGATCTGCTGAATCTTTTTACCTGCTGTGTGGAGATGGAAGAGGTCCTCTCCTGATGGACACTGAGGTTGCCTGCAATTTGTTACAAACAATATTTTATCGATGCCTCTAAGGACACCAGTGCCAATATTTTTCTAGAGTAGATGCTAAAAAGCAGAACTGTTAGGTTGAAGATCGTGTGTATTTTCTGTTTTCCTACAAAAAAGCTGAGTTGTCATTTCTACCTACAGCATATACGTAGCCTACTTCCCTATGTTCTTGCCAACACTGGATATGATGGGTCATTTTCATTTGTGTTATTCTAGTGAGTGAAAATGACATCTCGTTATTTTAATCACTGCTTCTTTGAGAGAGAAGGAAAGAGAGATTTTAAGCATAAGAGGGGTCAGTGTTTAAAGATCTTATTTTTGCTGCTCATATTCTTCTATTTTCCTTGCATCTTTTGGAACCAAGCACCCAGGAACCTTTCTTGTTTGCCTGTAGCAGAAATTACAGTTGAAAAGAATCATGGTGGTATCTTCCACACCCTGCAGGCCTCCAAGTATTCTATGCAAGATAGGAGAAAACAATAAAAAGGACATTTGGCCTGCTCAATTTAGCCTTTAGAGTGTTTATGGGGATGGAGCTTGGTGATGGTTTGTGGTAGGGGTAAGGGTACAAGGAGTTTGTTAAAAATGCAAGTCATGTTCAAGATGAGTTCTTGAGCCATTGACCTTTTTAGAGGTAGAAGAAAAAGACCCCTGTTTTAAGAACTGGGAAAGAATCCAGATTCAAAGTTTCTGTGGCAAGAACTGAACTGTAGGCACAGTAAGTGGAGCCACCAGGTTTAGTAAAAAAAAAAATTAAGTTCAGGTGTTGGGAACTCTGCCCTAGAATCTTCTCCCTTGGACCCAGGCTACCTTGCCAGGCTTATGACACCCAGGAACCTTTCTTGTTTGCCTGTAGCAGAAATTACAGTTGAAAAGAATCATGGTGGTGTTATCTTCCACACCCTGCAGGCCCCCAAGTATTCTGTGCAAGATAGGAGAAAACAATATAAAGGACATTTGGCCTGCTCAATTTAGCCTTTAGAGTGTTTATGGGGATGGAGCTTGGTGATGGTTTGTGGTTGGGGTAAGGGTACAAGGAGTTTGTTAAAAATACAAGTCATGTTCAAGATGAGTTCTTGAGCCATTGACCTTCTTAGAGGTAGAAGAAAAAGACCCCTGTTTTAAGAACTGGGAAAGAATCCAGATTCAAAGTTTATGTGGCAAGAACTGAACTGTAGGCACAGTAAGTGGAGCCACCAGGTTTAGTAAAAAAAAATTAAGTTCAGGTGTTGGGAACTCTGCCCTAGAATCTTCTCCCTTGGACCCAGGCTACCTTGCCAGGCTTATGAATTCTTCAGTGTTATCCAGCTGGCCACATATCCTTACAGGCCTTGTGTGATCAGTGCTGGAGTAACACTGGGCTGACAGAGATTTCTCATTTGGGCTTGGGGAGTTTTTGTAATTACTATAAATGTGGTTGTTTTTGATATCCTGGAAACACCCAGTTCTTAGATACATAGTTATACAGAGTAAGCCGACTCAGAAGGAACTTCTCAGACTGGCTCCACTAGCTGTCTCTTCTCTCTTGGGGAACCAAGGCATCCCTCAGCCTAATTTGTGGCATATGAATTGCCTCCCCTCTGAACTTGCTTACAGGATGACTATGACTTCTTTAAAGTGGAGGAGATCATCTACATTTTTGAAATTAAGAAAGGGAACTTTAAATATCCTCACAGGTCTTGCCTGGGTTGAATTCATAATAGGAATAAAACGAAGGCAGTGATAATGTCAGCAGAGGAGTTAATTGTACAGAAAGGTCAGGGGATTATTTGGTCAAGGGATTTTTGAAAATAATATTCATAGGTAGGTAATCTGAAGGAAATCGAGACTGGACTGAGTTTGGTTTTGTGATAGAAGTAGATGCTTCAAATTGGTAACCATGATGCTTTTACCACGTGTGTGGAAAGATGGTCCTGACATGTGCCTTCCTGGTAGACTTTCTGACCCTGTCTCTGGCCTCCTTCTTCTTAGAGCCCCCATAGCGATCGGAGTCGCTGCCATGTCCACAGCTGAGATGCTGACTTCAGGCCTGAAGGGAAGGGGCTTCTCTGTACTGCACACTTACCAGGACCACTTGTGGTGGGTACAGTGTTTCTTCTGTTTCACAGAGAGCCAAAGTGGCTGGAGAGAGCATACAGTCTGGGATTCAGAGTAACAGTTTTGTCCTAGCCATGTCCTTAGGCAAATTGCTGACCCCAGATTTTCATTTCTCAGCCATATGTGGAGAAAAGAATAAAGAATTTTTTTCCTGGTTGGAGAGCCAAAGTGGCTGGAGAGAGCATACAGTCTGGGATTCAGAGTAACAGTTTTGTCCTAGCCGTGTCCTTAGGCAAATTGCTGACCCCAGATTTTCATTTCTCAGCCATATGTGGAGAAAAGAATAAAGAATTTTTTTCCTGGTTGGACATGAAGTTAGAGAGAACTTTGATTATTTTCTAGGTGAATTATAGAATCCTAGACCTGGAATTCTCCTTAGGGATTGTCTATTCTGCCCCTCAGTATGGTGTTATTCATTTTTTTAATAGCTCTGGTCAATCTGGCGTTATCTGCCATGCACATTTTAGGCAACATCTGGCCCCGTGACAAGTGCTTCTGAATCCAAACCAAAGCAGGGTAGATCTTCAGGCACCAGGACGATAAGCCAATTACATCTATGGTATTCACGTGTCATATTTCACATCTCCTCCTGATTGTGGAATAACACATTCAGACTGTAACAGTTGCTTTCTAGAGCCACATACCAGTTCATGTTCTGGTTATTTTCTTGTGTCATTTTACCAAAACAGGAAACAGTACTTTTCTCAAAAACAATGTACCTGGTCTTTTATTATTGGTATAGCTTCACCCTTATATTTTCTAGCCCAGCCTTGGAGTTATTCGTTTTACAAGTACAGTTGACTACAGAGGATTGGTTCTAGGACATCTCCCCCCACCAACCATGTCTCCCACCCCTGTGTATACCAAAATCCTTGGATGTGAAAAGTCAGCCCTCCATATACATGGGTTCTCCATCCTGCAAATACTGTATTTTCTGTCTGGAGTTGGCTGAAAAACATCCACATATAAGTGGACCCACAAAGTTCAAACCCTTGTTGTTAAGGGTCAGCTATATTGGCCAAGCCCTACTTTGCTGGGGGTACAACCTCATTAGCCTGTTTTTTTCAGCGGATATTTGGAGGCTGATGACTGATGTTCTCCTAGCACCTTTGTTTCTAACTATCAGTCTGGGCAGCAGCAAGCAAGGTCATGTCATCTGAGTTGTTTTATCAACTGCCTCAACCCCCTCTCTCCCCCCCTTTAAAAAATATTTATAGTGTTTAGCTGGTCAGAATAGGCTAAACATACACTTTGGCCTTACTATTATTAACAGTACTTAATAAGCCTTGCTACCGCTAGTAGTTAAAACTTGGCTTGATTTACATATCTTGGCCGAGATGAAGCTTATTACCTCTCTATACGCTCTGCTATGTGGCATCGCTTTTTTTGTCTTCCTAAGGCTTAGTGGCAGAAAACCATGGTAATCTCTCCTTTGCAAGTTAGATTGCATTTGATTTAACACAGAAGCCACTGATTTCGCAGTCCTTGAGCAGTCCAGGTGTTTGTGTTTTGTTACATGTGCTGAGCCTTGGGTTTGAATGTCACCAACTGGTACTACAGACGCATTTATGATCTTAATGTTGTTATTTAATTCAAAATGTTGTTATTGTTTTTAACTTATATGAAGGGAATACTTTTATGGGCATATCTTTAACTGCTTTTTCTTTGATCTTTCTCTGTCTCATGATGTCTGTTAAGAATATTATTACTCCTTTGGGATAGGGAGAGGCAAGACTTATTCTCCCCATTTCAGAGATGAGGAAACTGAGGCATGGAACTTTTCTGGGCCCAGGATTGAAAATAGAATTGGGATGAGAGCACAGGCTCTCTGCTCTCTCCTGGGCATTCCTGCCTGTCAGCTCTTGCTAGCTCTGAACTCCTGGCTGACTCTTCCCTGACCAGGGTTGGAGAGTGTTATGGCTGCTCCTTGGTGTTTCTGACATGAGATTTTTCCAGGCAATCTGGGGACAAGTCCTGTCCACCTTCCATTGCTCCACTGGCACTGGATCCCACAGATCTCAGTGAAGACAAGGGGTCTGTCCAGGTGGACCCCACCCTGCAGGAGGATGTGAGGCGCCTGACCCTGGAGGGAGAGGAGGAGATTGGGGAGGTTCATCAGGCGTGTGGGGAGAAGTCCCTCTCAGAAGCCTCAGAAGACACCAGTGCTGGGGCCCCGAACCAAGACTCCACAGACAGCAAAACCCTTCGAGGTATAGCTCTGGGAGGAGAAGGGCCTGTCTCCCCTCCTCTCAATTTAGGAGGCTGACAAGCTTCACCCCACTTCTGATCAGAATGGCACTGAAGCTCTGGGAGAGGAGGAGAAGGTCCTATTTTCGGTGAGGTGGCACAGCAGCTCTTTGACATCTTGCCTTAGAGTCCTTTCCACTTAAGTCATGTCTCCTGGGTGCCAGTCTGCCCTGGCATTTGGACTGTTCCAGCTACAGAGCCCCCTAGAGTTTCTTCTGGCTCTGACTTCTGGGTGAATGCTCCTGGCTTGGTGGGACTTTGTGGCTTAACCCCTTCTCTGGGGTCATCCCTCTCTGAAGGCTTGGTGGTCAAGAGAGTCTGGGAGCTTTGGTACCTGGGAATGGGTTCCTTTCAGAGCCAAGGGGGTGAGGTGGGGGTGGGGATGGAGCTGGGCAGAGGAGTTTTCCTGTGCTGTAGCAGGCGTTCTGTCTCAGGAAGGGTGTGGTCTTGTCTTCCCTTACAGAGCAAATGGATGAACTGTTACAGCGATGCTTCTTGCATGCTCTGAAGTGCCGAGTCAAAAAGGCTGACCTGCCTTTACTCACCAGCACTTTTCTTGGCAGCCACATGTTCTCCTGCTGGTATGGAAGACACTGATGTGGGTTGGAGGCCAGGGACTGGGTCTCACTCTTGTGCCTTGGCGGTAGGACAGGACAGGGCCGATGGGGGCATTGGTTGAGGGACATGCTATAGAAGGTTGATCTGGCAAATACATTAGGTCCTGGGTTTTAAAAACTTAACCTAAGCCAGTGAAAGGATGTTGAGGAAATGGCAGGTTAAAATTCCCGAGATTCTCTGAATATTGCCTCTGCTGTGGCAGTTCTGGGCTGTCTCTCACGAATCAAGCAGCATGTCCTGTACAGGAAGAGTCCGGGGGCAGCCTCTTTGTCAGGAGGCTTCTTCTGGAATGTTCAACCCCCTCACACTTGTGAAAAGTAGGTAGGCCAGATTAGGTTGTATCAGCAAGAATTGGGGTGAACCCCCACCCCACCCAAAACACAAGCCACCAGGAGAGGTAGTGTTACTTGTAGATAGAACCTGGACTTTGAAGACAGAGCCATCTGGGCTCAACTGCTAGCTCCCCAGGGTGTTTGAGCAAAGCAAATTTCACCTTGTTACTGGGCTTCTCTGAGCCCTAATTTCAATACTCACAGGATTGCTGTGAAGATTAATTAGGCTGACATATAATAAGCACTCAACAGATACTGTCCTATCAGGAGAAAGCAAATTTCACCTTGTTACTGGGCTTCTCTGAGCCCTAATTTCAATACTCACAGGATTGTTGTGAAGATTAATTAGGCTGACATATAATAAGCACTCAACAGATACTGTCCTATCAGGAAGTTTGCTTATTGATTTTCACCCTGAGATTGAACTTCTTTCTTTTTGAGAATCTTGCTCTGTTTTTTTAAAAGTGTTTTTTAATGTAATCTCTTCCCATTTACACACAGGCTTCTTTAGGGCATCCTGTATAAGTGTGGCATCTAGAGTATGTGATGGGTTCCTTGGTAATTTGTCCTGACCTTGCTGGGTTGCAAGTAACTGGGAAAGGGATCCCAGAATCTTCTCTAGAATAGAAGTTCTTAATCTGTGGTGGGTTCTAGAAGGGTTCCCTGAGAATCCCACAGCTGTTGAATGTCACATTTTAAGAGAAGATGTAAGTTCCAGGGAGAGGGGAAGTTTATAGCTTTCATCAGGAGCCTTCCCCCAAAACTAGTTGCTCTAGGGCAAGGGTCAGAAAAGTTTCTGTGAAGGGCCAGATAGTAAATATTTTAGGTTTTGCAGGCCATGAGGGTCTGTCACCCCTACTCAGCTCTGCCTCTATAGCCTAATGTGACCACAGACGATAGCTAAGTGATGATGTAGTCAGATTTGGCCCACAGGATGCAGTTTGCTGAACCCTGCCCCAGGCCTGGTGCCTGCAGCACAAGCTTGGTGTAGAAAGGCTCACCTTCAGGTGGAACTTTTAAGGCCACCGAAGATTGTCTGGTTTGAGAGGAATCTAAAGCTATATGTAATACAGTAGCTACTAGCCACACAGGGCTATTTTAAATCTAAATTAATTAAAAGTAAGTAAATGAGAGATTTAACTCCTTGGTCACATTAGGCACATTTCAAATGCTTACTAGCCACATGCGCCTAATGGCTACCATATTGGACAACACAGACAGAGAACATCCTGTCTTCACAAAAAGTTCTGTTGGCCAGCCCTGATTTAGACTGTCTCATAGTCTGCATCCCTCGCAGATGCCACCACTGGGCAGAGTTCTGGAATGGTGGCCTCTCTCTGAACGTGGGGGAGGGAGGCTGAGGAAAAAGGCCCTCAGTGCCAGGCATCTGCATCCCTCGCAGATGCCACCACTGGGCAGAGTTCTGGAATGGTGGCCTCTCTCTGAACTTGGGGGAGGGAGGCTGAGGAAAAAGGCCCTCAGTGCCAGGCAGGTCCCACCACCACTGCTTGTTAGCTTAACTTGCCTTTTCCATCTGCCATTAGCCCCGAAGGACGACAGCTGGACATAAAGAAGTCAAGCTACAGAAAGGTAAGCAGGAACCTTCCTTGCACACCCACACAGAGAGCTGTGCAGGGGCACGGATGACATGAGCTGACTGGGCACTGGGGAAGCCCTATCTAAGGGCTCAGGCTAAAATTAAGCTTTTGATTGCAGGTTTAAGGGGAAAAACTCTTCCTGGGCTGAGGTAGTTCGGTGGTGCCCACTCTCCTCTCCCCATTTGACCCCTTTATATCTGATTAGAGTTAGGCTCTAGCCACTTCCTGCTCCTGACCCTCAGGGTGGGGGCCTCCCAGCTCCTAGTGTGATGAGTGCAGAGACCATCTCATATCCTTCCACAGTTGCTGCCGAGCTCGGTCTGGCACATCCTAGGCACTCAGTCTGTGTGTGGGATCAATGAAGTCCCCGACCACTGGCCCTCTCTCCCTTAGCTCTCTAAGTTCCTGCAGCACATGCAGCAGGAGCAGGTTATACAGGTGAAGGAGCTGAGCAAAGGGGTGGAGAGCGTTGTGGCTGTGGACTGGAAACACCCGAGGTGAGTGCAGGGGGCCTGGTCACCGTAGCTCAGCTGGCCCCAGGGCACCTGGGCAACGGACTGGGGCTTGCCGAGACACTAGTATAAAATGTGTTTTTTCTTTCCTTCTGCTGGGTTTTAGGATCACATCTTTCGTCATACCCGAGCCCTCCCCGAGCTCCCCGACTATCCAGGAGGGTAGCAGGGGACAGCCCTATCACCCTCCAGATATAAAATCCCTCTACTGTGTCCCAGCCAGCATGACCCTGCTCTTCCAGGAGTCTGGCCACAAGTGAGTTTTTGGAGAGCAGCCCTTCTCTGCCTGCCTGGTGTTCTGGCCTCCACTTCCTCTCAACCCGAGTAGTGTTCTTTTGTGACTGGCAAAACCTGCTCTGCCCTGTTCTCCCTTTCTCCCACATTCAGCTCCAAGCTTCCTTCTCTGGGGAAGTTTCTCTGGACCAAATGAACAGAGGAGGTTTCTCCCTTTTCTACCTGTAATTATTCTTCACACGGTCATGCTCACCTCAGTCCAGAAAAGGGAAGAAAATAGAGGCCGAAAGTCAAGGAAAGCACCCTGCTGAGCAGGGAGTGAGTCCGGGTGTTTGCAGTTTGTCTCCTGGCACAGCATGAATTAACGCCCCCGCTCACTTCTCCTCACCTAGGAAGGGGAGCATGCTCGAGGGCAGCGAGGTCCGAATGATCATCATTAACTACGCCAAGAAAAATGACCTGGTCGATGCAGACAACAAGAAGTGAGTGGAGAAGGAGGAGAACTTGGGTCTGTCTTGTCGGGTGGTCTTCAGCAGGCATAGACACATTTGGGTCTGGGAGGGAGCATGGGGAATCACAGTGTCTTAGAAAAAATCAAGACCAGTGGTTTCCACACCGTGGGCTGTGGACACCTAGAGTTGTTGTCCAGGGTGTTGTCAGATCCATATACACTGTCAACATTGGCAACACACTGAGTAAATATTATCTCACATAGAACAGCCATTGATCTGCAGATGCAGGTGGCTGTTGTGGGGAATAAAATGCAAACTTTAAAAAATTTTACTGAAGTCATCTTAGCATTTTGGTAATATCTTCTTAATAAGTGGGTGCAGATGATAAACCGCCAGATGAAGAGAGTTCCATTCCTCATGATCAAAAAGTTGGGACCTACCAGCCTAATCTAAAGTCTTCATTTAAATAAAGAGCCCTGCTTCCAGTCTTTCTTCCTTGCTAGCCTTCTGTGAAACTAAGCCCAGAAAGCTGCAGTCACATGATGGGCAAGTCTGGGGTATCTTCCCCCCCCCCACCAAAATTTATTTATTTATTTATTTTTGATTATATATATATTCATGGAGTACAGAGTTGATTATCAGTATTTCTGTACAGTATGTGATGATCAAATCAATATTAGCATGTTCATTATTCAAATCATAATTATTCTTTGTATCCCTTACCTAATTACTCCCTAACCCTCCTCTCCCTTCCCTTTTCACATCTCTAGTAACTAGAGGTCTGTTTTCTTCTGAAAGTTCAACATTTTATTGTGGTCAGCCTTTCTTTCTTTCTTCCTTCCTTTATTTTCTCTTTTCTTTCTTAGCTCCCACTTATGAGTGAGTACATGCAGTATTTCTCTTTCTGTGTCTGGCTTATTTCACTTAACATAATTTTCTCCAAGCTCATCCATGTTGCTGCGAATGGCAGAATTTCATTCTTTTTTTTGACTGAGCAGTATTCCATTGTGTATTTATACCACATTTTCCTTATCCAGTTGTCCTTTGATGGACATTTAGGTAGGTTCCATATCTTGGTGATTCTTTTTTGCCTTTTCTTTCTCTTTAGTCTTGTGAAATTAGATCCCATCTTATGTGACTGCATCTTAGAGAAGAATGAACAGCACACAGTCATGAAACTTCCATGGGACAGTCTCCTGACCAGGTAATAGGGATTCGCAGTCCCTTTCCAACTTTTCTTTTCCTTCCCCTTAATATCTATCACATTGAACTTGAAAATTGTCACTATCTTAGCTCCATCTTCCATAACTTATACCATGTTAGTCCATATAAACACAGGCTTAAGTAATTCTGATATGGAATGTCTTTGGAACAATTTGAGCCAACACAATGTAGGAGAACTTGAGAGGAAGAAAAGGAACATTAATTAAAAACAAGAACTTCAACAAGATTTAGAAGCAAAAGAAGGTCAGGGTGAATTGTCTTAAAGTCTTCAAAGGAAAGAGTCTTATTACTCCTTTTCCCCACAGTTTATTTCCATAAATGAAAATAATTTGTATCAGGAGCCAGTAAACTACAGCCCATGAGTCAAATCTGGCCTGCCACCTGTTTTTGTAAATAAAGTTTTATTGGAACACAGCCACACCCATTTATGTGTTGTCTATGGGCTGCTTTTGTGCTATAAAGGCAGAGTTGAGTAGTTGTAACAGAGACCATATGGCCTGCAAAACCTAAACTATGTACTGTCCTGCCTTTTATAGAAAAAGCGTGTCGATCCTCATGTAAATGATAGCAAGAGAAAATTTGGTTAGATAAAAGGTAGAAATTCTTTGTGGTGAAGGTGTTCTGTAAAAGATGCATTTTTGAAATGTCAGAAATGTGAAGCAGCATTTGGAGGCAGTGAGCTGGGTATAGTCCATTCTTGAGACAGGTAGTAACTTCCACAAAGCAGACTGGACAGATTCTCAGAAGGCCAGACCAGTGGACAGTTTCCAGGGGCTCAGGTTACTGATGTTCCCTTCCCTCAATCAGTGGGTCTCCACCTTGGCCGCACTTTGGGGAGCTTTAAAAAATATAGATGTCTTGGGCTGACCCTGTGGCGCACTCGGGAGAGTGCGGCGCTGGGAGCGCAGCGACATTCCCGCTGCGGGTTCAGATCCTATATAGGAATGGCCGGTGCGCTCACTGGCTGAGCGCGGT